ACACACACACACACACACACACACACACACACACATATATATATATATATATATATATATATATATATATATATCTCTGTATATATATTTAGGAATACGCGTAGCCACGCCTCATATAGTTATGTTATTTAGAAGTACATACAACATAAAGATGTATCAAAATGTATCATAGCGCTGTCTGTATAAATATGGTACAAATCCATTACTTACTTGAAATCAAGCTCACTCAGGATGTGCTTGTTGACCATGATCATCCCTGACGACGCACACGCCCATCCGAGGCAGAACGCGACGGTGATTGCCATTTCTCTCATTTTGTTGGGGCCTGGTGAATCCATTGCAGTGGTCATTATGACGAGGCCCTTAACAAAGGCAGTCGAGTTCAATTCACTCGTCACAGCACCTTGAATAAGGGTAGTTATAGAGAACTAAAACTGCAATCTGATAGCGAAGTGCGAACACATGCATAAATATAAATACATATAATCATTTTGTAACTTTTTCGGAGCGCCTCCAGATAAACGGCTGCAGATATGATCTCAATTTGATAGCTGCGTCGCTAAGGACGACATCATGGTTTTTCCCCCGCGGAATTCGACTTGGTTTCCGTAAAAAACATAGTTTTTTCATACATGACTCGTGCTACTCCCCTTTCTCTAGGGTTTAAATTTTTTAGGGTTTACGTTTTCAGGATAAAAAATATAATCTATCTATAAATACTACCCAATAGAAAACTTTATGATACGTGGGCACTGGTTGATGCCTGTTGGAATCTCTAGAGTAGACCGTGTCGCAACCGCACAACCGGCCAACCGCATTTTTCTATTGTGAGATTGTGAGTCCGACGCACCTGATTTTGTGTGGACTGAGTAAACTGTAATGTGTACAGACTTTGATTGTGTGATTTGTATCGGCATATTTTTACAACAAATTTAAATGTTGTATGACCTGTCACTATGCGGATGTTTATTTATGCGCTCTGCAGCAGTCCAACGACGACAAAAGAATGTATGCGCTTCACCGCATGGCCTTCTAAACAGAGTAAGCTATGTCTTAAGGTCCACATCACTTAGTGCACACCATCACACACTAATACAGATCATTCTGATTATTCATCCGGTTAGAACATCATAGCCGTATCCGTGGGCTGCCAAGATTTAATCTCTAGGAAGTAAAACTCTCTGCATACAATGGGGAACCACAATGATAGTACGCATGTCGGTACACACGCCACTCCTCCAGAGAATGGCACAGACACAAGTACTATACAAAACACGGCCGCCCCAGATGACACACACGTGACAGCGTGTGACACTTCAAGTAGGAGTGTTATGCGTGCAACGCCATTCAATGCGGCATCTATGTCTGAAGATATGACTGTATCTGAAGATTCGCCTGTAGTTGACCCAACGGGAGCATGTACGCGCGTATCACAGTATCTTTCTAAAATGAAAGGCCAGAGAGACAAGCCTTTACCAATTCCTGATCTTCTATCTCTCACACTCATGGCAATTGCATCCTTTCTGTCTATTGGCACACTTAGTCTAATCGAGTACCTCCCAAGCAGTGCAATATCGTCTTCAGACTACACACAGGTGTTAGGTAGTTTTGGTGCATCCGCTATCTTGGTATACGGGCTTCCCAACGCACCGCTTTCTCAGCCCAGAAACCAAATTGTAGGACAGTGTATAGCCGGTCTCATAGGCATCGCCTGCAGGCTATTAATCGCCGACAACATGGGTGGCAATATAATCCTAGCACTCCCTGTGTCTATCACTTTGTGCATACTGTGCATGGCTGTGACGCAGAGCTTCCACCCACCCGCAGGGGGCACTAATCTAATTATGGTACTCAGCTCAACTACCTCAGACATCGGGTTCGGAATGATGGTTCCGGTTATATACGGCACATTAGTCATGCTATTCTGGGCGTTGGTTACCTGCAACTTAAACCCCCGGGTGGCCTTCCCAAAGTACTGGTTTGGCTTCAAACATATACTCGGGATACCATTCTATAAGAAGTCAAAGCCAGATATGGATGTTATTGCGCCAAGTAAGGCATCGAAAAGTGCATCCAAAGCAGAGATGGGTGTAGATGTGCGCGGGCTGGTGGCTGTCGAGGCCAGTACCCGAATTAGAGCGTGTTCGTGCGATTGTACGTGTGGAGCGCAGGAAGAATAAGAATGGGCGGTATCCACATACATTTTTTAGTAGAGGGTGAATGCGAACGTAAACGTATACACATTCCTCTGAGTGCAAACGTGCCACATATACATACCCATGTACAGAATCACACACACCACATAGCCTGGCGAATGACGACATAACGGAGTATACATATACGTATATTCTAAACAATAGACGCAGGATGGTTAAGCCTTGGCGATGCCACTAGTAAAGCCGCAGGCATTAGAATATTTCGTAGCGCTCTAACCCTGGGGCACCAATGATCATTGATATCCCGCGCAGGTGATGGATCGTATCTGCTTAGCCCTGCTAGTAACAACGCTTGCTTGTGGGAGTGCGTGCACATGCTGCAATCACTTCTATAGCATGCGGATGTGGGTGGGATGGTGTCTCGGCTAAGTGATTGAATACTGTACCATAGGGTAATTGTTAAGTAAGCCGAGTGATGCACCCGTTTGGCACTACTAGGAGAAGTCACGCCTTGTCATACAAAGGAGTTCAAGGCCTCCAAATACACACAGCTCAGATGATGTACCCTTACGAGTCCCAGTTGAAATACACTGATAAGACCAGTATCTCTTGGCTCGGAAGGGCCTAAAACCGAGCGAATTAGAGTAGCTCTAGCTACAAATAACGATAGACGAAATTAGAATCAATCATAGCCTTTCTAAAGTAGACAATCAATTTAATAAAATGACAAAATGAGCGGATGCGAAGCTCAGGTGCATCGAATGATTATGATTACGTCCCACGCAGAGACTACGCTATGCGATGGGGAGGATCTGTTGAGTCATCGCAACAAGTGCATTCATTTTTGATCGCGGAGAGTTTGATGTGATCTTACACCTCTAGAGATGCTTGTACTGGATGTTCACAAAGCAAACTATTCTGCGGTAGTGGGATGGCTATAATGCATATACTGACTGGCAGGTAGTACTTTTTTTTCCAACAACTAGTTTTTATTGCTAACACTTAACTCACACAGAAGGAAAAGAAATTTCAGGAACCAAACATTGGCCAAGTAGGGACTTTGTATCCAATCTTGGGGAAGATTTGACACCTCCGCACTCCCCGAGGTTGAGTACTACCGTGGTGACTAGCAGAGCATGTCGTACAAGGACACACTCTCCAAACCATTCATTCCTTCCACCTATCCTCTACAGCGTATGTTGGCTCTATCTTTGCCATCTCTCAGTGCGACCTCATTGGTATCTATGCTGTGCTACGAGTCTTGTCGCCTGCTCACTCTGGACCGCGCTATCCTCACTTTGGAACGCGCTACCTCTGCAGGTTGTCCAGACACGGACAGGGCATAATGTGACCGTATATTATTATCTGGACAAGGCATCGTGAGACAGTATATTATTTTCTGGACAGGGCATAGTGGGACAGTATATTTTTTTTCTGGACAGGGCATAGTGGGACAGTATATTATTTTCTGGACAGGGCATAGTGGGACAGTATATTATTTTCTGGACAGGGCATAGTGGGACAGTATATTATTATCTGGATAGGGCATAGTGGGACAGTATATTATTTTCTAAATAGGATGTCTCCAGTCGCCCCCTACAGTCCACATTCGCTAGCAGGATGGAATACGGCCACCTACACCCTGCAAGCTGCGCTGTGAAGCCACATCGACCCAGAACAACATGCGCTGTTGCACAACTGTTATCAACGGGCAATCTTGGTACAACATTCAGGATGTAGGGTTTTCCACTAAACCCTAAACTCTTCTGCAACATTCAGGTTGGTATGTAGCGCAGATTGTGTGGTTGCCGCATAGCAAATGATTGTGCTTCGTTGTGAGGCTGAGTGTATGTACCGAGGGCCCGTTCGCACGCCGTTCCGTCCATCGACATCAACACACGCAGTTAAAAATCGAGTTGTTCATAGTGCCTTTAATACCGCCAATGAATATCTCTCGTATCGAAGCCACCAAACTTGAACCTTTTGCGCGGACTAGTTTGCTGACAGCCTTGGTAAAGCCACGTGCTTGGTTCCTGAGTATGCCATAACGAGCTGCAAGGCGTCACCTCGACTGTGCCCGCGTGCCAAGTCCGAACCATTGTTCAGGACGTGATGTGTATGTCCCCCGCACCCTCTTTGTCTGTGACTGCAGTACATTGGCGTGTCTGATGACCGGTGCTACCCTGCGCACTGCAGGGCAGACTTCGGTAGGTTGTACGGACTAGGGTTTAGGGTTTACACCCAGGCTGCCTCTACTAGACACACGTTCCCACCTGCGCTTGAAGCGAGTGGGATACTTTGGCCTTGTTCTTAGACAGTGACTGTACCTCTGCCATACACCTGCGCTTGAGGGAGTGGTTTAATTTGGCCATGTTCTTAGACGGTGACTGTACCTCTGTCATACACCTGCGCTTGGAGGGAGTGGGTCAATTTGGCCTTGTCCTTAGATTGTGACTGTACCTCTGCCATACACCTGCGCTTGAAGGGAGTGGGTTACTTTGGCCTTGTTCTTAGACGGTGACTGTACCTCTGCCATACACCTGCGCTTGAAGGGAGTGGGTTAATTTGGCCTTGTTCTTAGACGGTGACAGTACCTCTGCCATACACCTGCGCTTGAAAGGAGTGGTTTAATTTGGCCATGTTCTTAGACGGTGACTGTACCTCTGCCATACACCTGCGCTTGAAGGGAGTGGGATACTTTGGCCTTGTTCTTAGACGATGACTGTACCTTTGCCATACACCTGCGCTTGGAGGGAGTGGGTTACTTTGGCCTTGTTCTTGGGCATTGTCTGTACCTCTGCCATGCACCTACATTTGGCCCTGTACAGCAGTACGAGTCTCCACGTGGAGATTTCAAAGATATGACCTAACCCGTGCAATAGAGACAAGGTAGCCTTCCTATGAATGCGTTGCCCGGGCCCCGAGTGCTGAATTACCCTGATATATGTTTTAGGGTTTGAGGGTTTAGGGTTTAGGGGATGAGCCCCTGGCGAAGTCCTCGCATCCTCCCGTACTGCAGAGATATACATGTCTGAATTTCTCCAGACCTATGCAGTTGTCCATTAGCGGCCTATGCCCAGGACATAAGCATCCTCGCCAAGCGACCCAAGGCAATTCCTACTTAGACCAAACCCAAGGTTAACCCTACTTAGATTCGATCTTAAGGCGAACCCTACTTAAATTTGACCTACACCTTCTAAGAAACCCAAGGCTAACCCTACTTAGATTTGATCTTTACCTACCAAGAGACCTAAAGCAATCGCTACTTTGATCTGTTCTTCCCTCAACGGCTCGTGCGAATTCCACTACCCGATGATTCCGTGCTAGACACATAGTAAAGATGGCGTTGCGATGGTGGCCTTGGACCTATGGCCCTGTATAGTCACATCTGGGTGTCGTCTGCAAGTCTTGATGGTGTTTGTGCACGGGAGTGAAAAGGGTACTTCTCAATCGCCCCGTATTACTAGGATAAGCTTTCCTACACAGCCATCGGTACATAATCAAAAATCCTGGACTGTTGCTTCTTGCCTGGCCAATTGACTGATTGGTACAAAGGTATGTGTGCGGGGTAGCAGACCGAGATGTGTCCACATACAGCCACTCCTCATCCTCTGCACACTGCTAGCTGTCTCTACAAGAGGTGACTGCAGTTTTATCCGGGCCCTTTCTGGATCATGCGACACTGTAGAGAGGTGTCCACATACAGCCACTCTTCATCCTCTGAGGAGTCGCGTCGTTGTCTATTGTCTGGTTGGGTAATGAGTCCTTCGGCACTGTTCGATGGCAATAGGTCCGCATTGAGTGTTTCCGCACTGAACCCCTGTGTATGTAGAATATATATATATAGGCAGAAGATACGCCGTCAGGACACTGAACTTGCATAGCTGAGCTCATACAAGGACTAGGGTAACATGTATAAGAAGCGAGCAGCTACATAACACCAAGGATGTCTCAGTAGAATTGGGTTATAGATGAAACTACGAATACATTATGTATAAAGAAATATATATATATATATATATATATATATATATATATATATATATATATATATATATATATATATATATATATATATATATATATATATATATATATATATATATATATATATATATATATATATATATA